TTTTCATACACAGCGAAGTATAACAACTGTGACACTTGCTACTTTGCACTCACTTGTGACTACGTTTTGTACATAGCTTTTGTTTAAACAGCACGTTAAGTGTTGAGCGGTAAACATTGTTAGTTCGCTCTTGTCCTGTGTATGCTGTTTTCGTGCGTCATTTGTGCGTGAGCAGCGCGCTGCACGTTTCGATCTGCTTGCCGTTCTCAGTGTTACATTCCAAGTTGTTGCTATCGTATTCATTGCTTGGCCCTTGCGGCGAAACTGTGACTTTATTATCTCTGCTTTAGCTGCGTTGAGCTGTGTTCTCTGCTCCAGACAAACTAAGTCGTCTATGTTAGCTTACGAATCCCAAGAAGGAGGTGCAACCCACTTATGGAAAGAAGCATGTTACTAAGTTTGTTGAATGTTCCCTAGCCGTCGTCTACACCTTTCTGCTGTCGTGGGGCACGGTTTACATAGGACAGACTGGTAGGTGTGTTAAAGACCGCTTGCGCGAGCACATTTACAATGTGAAAAACTAGATTTCTTCTGGTGGTTTCTGGCTATGCATTGTAAGTCATGTGCATGCACTCCGTTTTTTGACCAGTGTGTTATCTTGGGCCGCAGTCATAATCAGTTGACGTGGGAAATTATTTAGGCGAACGCTATCGCAAAATGTGCGGAGCTGTTTGTGAGTATGCCGTCTGGGGCCTTATTTGAAAATAAGCTCAATTTTCTGGAATGTGTGCTGTGAAGAGCTGATATAGGATTGTTAATTTAATTTCAGATCACAACTAGGCTTTCTTGGTAACGTGTACTGTTCCACATGTTTACAGTTTTGTCATGTGTGCGGCGTCACGTGGAATGTACTATGTAATGTCTTGTAAGGGTACGCAATAAACAAGAGTTGGAAGCTAGTGCTTACGCTGTGATCTGTTTTTTCCCCTTCTTGACTGTATAGCATCTTTTTCTTCACACTCAAACTGGGCTGTGCTAAAGCAGTATCATTTTATCATGCATCACCTCGCCTAGTCAGCAGTACTTACGTTCTTCACCCCTGCTCGCGTGCTTTTGCCGACTTGTAAAGCACACAATGCGCGGGGGGATGTTATCGATTGGGATATTACAAAAAACATGATGGTGACTGCCAGAGGCACAGCCAGGCGGAGGGTGGGGTCACATCGAGACAAGCCCCCCCTTTCCAAAATATTTTTTTTGCCATGGCATATATATAGCCCAATATTACCATTTGCATGCCCCCCCTTCAGATAAAGGTGCACTCCCGCCCCCCAAAATTACCTACGCCCCTGGCGATGGCAACGACCGGTCGAGTATGTCCTTGTAATTACTATCGCAATAAAAAAAATTTATCTCGCCTTCTAGTCGTTTTAGGCGACTAGAAGGTGCCTGTGAGGTACACTGTGAGGTTCTTTTTTCTTTATGCACTGCTTTCTAGAACACTGCAGGGGGATTTTGGAGTATACACCGAATGCCCTAGCCACATAAAACATCGCTGCAAAAGGAAAACGAAGTTTCTTAAATCGTGTAGTTTCAGCACAGAGAGATGAGTGCCGGACGAGGTTGGCTTTATAAGACTAGCTAAATGACGTCCTGTTAAGCCCAGCAGTATAGTCGGTTGTGAAGAAAAAGAACCTTTCTATATCCTTGGAGTCGTCTAAAGGAAATGCAGTTGCGACTGTGTGTGTCTCTAGTGTCGTACGTCGCAGTGTTTGTCTATGTCACACACTTCGGGTGAGGCCCCGCCAATCCAACATCGTCCTGCGGCAGACTCGCAGGCTTCCACTCTACGCTTCGGCCTGCGACGCCTAATAGGCCTCGAAGTGGTACACCTCAAATTTATTTGCAGGTTGGTCGACCCGTGCGGGGTTGCACGTGTGGTGATGTATGTGCCTGACCGACACACTCATAGAGCAGACACGGACATTTGCTTAAACAAACACAAGCATTTAATTAAAACAAGGCCAATGGCAAGAGATTACAGAAAATTTACGGAGGAAAAGAACTGATACGCGATGAGAAGAACAACAAAGCAAACTATGCTAGCTGTAAAAGACACTACAAGAGGTACAAACAAAAAACAAATATCTGGAATGTTAATAAAATAAGAACATGATAAAACTGAAGGAGATATAGAGAAAATTTACTAGAACACGATCATGGTCGCGCTTCTGAATTTCTAAGTGCAATGCAGTGCACATAACTACAATTAATTAAAAGCTGGTTATATTAAATAATAGTTTAAAAAAGTCACAATAAAAAGTTCCTTACCAGGCCAGCTCTTGGTACACGTAGGGTAGTTGACACGGTGTCGCTGAAGATCTCGCCAGCTTAGTAGACGACGAGGGTGCCCGGTATTGCAGCTGTCTTAATACGTTGCGCGGGTCACTCCATGCTCGCCGCCTATGCGAGACACGCGACACCGACGACCGCACTTCTTGCTGGCTACATGTCAACTGCTGATTCCGATGCAGTCCAAACTCTTTTGGGACGTCCCGTCTCCTCTCGAGGTCGTTTCTTTTTCTTCGAACACGTTTCTCCTTTCGGTACAGGTGTAGAGAAGACGCGGCGGCGCTGCCGCTGCGTCGCCAGTCGCCGGTTGTCATCTACCCAAGACAAAAGCGCCCTTCCTTGGACAATAGAGCGTGCGGGCGAAATGAAAATCGCAGTCGTTTGTGACAGTCTACCATATATACTGATAACCACGTAGGTGTATAGAATGTTATTTCATGAAGTACAATTATATTCAACCAGTGTTTTGTTTATTTGCTACAAAAATAATCATTGAACAAGTTTTTTCAGAATGGCCAACATAATGATGCCAATATTTTTGCATCAACTAAAATAGGGAGTGCTCCTAAGATGACTGGCTTCTTGAGATTTTAAATGAATGGAAATATTTCTAGCTCTTCACAAAAGACAAGAGCCCCAAAATAATTATTCATGCCTTTGAATATAAATGAAACTTGCTTCTCCTCCAGGATGTGAAGTTAGCTGCTCCAGATTGCTCCAAAATGGAAAATTTTACTGTTCCAAAGTGCTCCAAAATGGGAAATTTTCCTGCTCCATTGTGCTTCTCAATAGTAACTTTTGCTGCTCCGAAGTGCTCCAAAATGAAAATTTTACTGCTCCCGAAATTGCTAAAAACCACGGTGGCATCACTGTATAGTGCAGAACTGGTGACAACGCGTTCTTTTTAGACTCTCGTTTACCCTCCCATAGAACTCCATGTATACCTATACAACTTATTGTGCAGTCCGCCAAGCTGAAAGACCGGTTATAATGCAGTTGCCAGAAAATCTTGATGTGATAAATGCGATAGCAAGTGCACATCTGAAAGGAGGCGCGCTGGATGCGACGCTGGGGAGCGAGTGAGGAGGTCGCATTATCGAGGGGGGGTGAACGAACAAAGGTCGGGGGGGGGGGGGGGGGAGAAAGAGAAAAGGAAAAAAAAAAAATTGGTTCCAAATCTGCATTTTACACCGCAAATGTAGTCGAAAGACGATAGTCTTGCATATGCAGAGAGTGAACAAAACGTTTATTTGATGTTCTGCCCAAGAAAATCGGTGAATGGTATTCTGCAGGCGCTACGTTAGAGTGCCTCGAGCGTGTAGCGGAGGCGAACGAGCGCATCAAGGCCTGTTAGACACAAGTGCCATCTGGCAGTTGTCTTCAAAAACGAAGGCGTGTAGCCCGTGGAGAAACATGCGCGCCAGTCTCGGAGGTGATAAGGTGTAGAACGCAAAGCGACGGGCAGGTGCCACCACTGTGACGTCGTAGAAAAGCGTTGGAAACAACTTTTTGAGCATTGCAATGCACTGTCAGCACAGCACGCTAGAACGCTACATACCTTAGAGTTACTTGTGTGTGTCTCTTCTAGTGTAAAGGCAGACATACAAAACTTCGAAGTGACATACAAAACTTCGGAGTGTTGTTATGGTGCTTCAGAGATGCACAGTAATTGCTTTTTAATTGACAATTGCACAACTATGAACGCTAAACCTTGAGCAATATTGGTGGGCGCTGCGAATGGGGTTGGCCATTCAGTGCGGTTTGAGGTATCGTTAGGGTGGACAAATAGACGAATGTACAGACAGACAGACAGACCGAAATTTTTTTGTCGAAGGTCCCCAAGAATTTTCTCGGGGACGGATAAGCCATTCCCCCGGCACTGACGCTGCTGTGTACTAGCGTTGCTAGTGGGACTCTGGCCGCGCGCTGCTCGACATGGCACATGCGATCCTGTCCTTATCAGCTGCGCTAAACAGTTTGCTGTCTGGTAAAGGGTCGTCGTTATTGAACTTGCTACAGATATCGCGTTTGCTACCTCGTCCGCAAGTTTAAAACCTTTTATGACTTTATGACGCGAGCTTTCATCTTTGCTGCTAGTGCGCTGCCTACATTGCTTTTCGGGTTTTCGTCGTTGATCTCCCGGCCGTGAACACGAACTTCGTATCACGCACGCTGTTCTTGGTTCTGTGCTTGAGTGTGATTTTTTCAATGCCGGATCATCATGTCTTAGGCAAACTTCCCACGACTACATACCAAACGGCATGCTAGGTCCAATCGGCATTCCTGCGTTTCGGTAGCGATTGCGTGCTATTCAAGTTGCTGTTTAATACGGAATCAACGAAACTCTATTTGGTGGCTTCACTTGACGGGAAGTTTCTGTGTAATGCGCATAAACGACGTGGTCTTGGAAGTAGTTGGTGAATTTTTGCAATGGAGCTTTTTTTGCTACACCTCCCCTTTTTCATTCATTTCGTTGGCAACACGTGTCTTAGGATGATATTTTTTTTTAATTCGGGAATTTCAACAGTTGTAAGCACCATGCACTGCATGCTTCAATTTTCGGACACAGGTAGCTGCTGTCCATTGCGGTTTTTGTACCATTGAACCCTAACTATGATAACAAAATGAAGATTTACGTGTTTGTTGAGACAGCTGCAAAACAGCCAGAGAGGGGGTATTTAGAGAGTATGAACTTTATATGTTTTCAGCACAAGTAGTCAGGCCTGTGGAAGTCGGAAGCAGGAGACTACCAGTGACATGAAGAGCAGCAGTGTAGACAAACGAAGGAGCTCTCATCGCAGCAGGGACAGGTATGGGTATGATTTGTTTAGACTTTTTACCACGTTAATGCTCCATAAATTTTACTCTTTCTTACATTTCACTTTTGTTTTCAAGTGCACTGTGCACTTGAAAACAAAAGTGAAATGTAAGAAAGAGTAAAATTTATGGAGCATTAACGTGGTAAAAAGTCTAAACAAATCATACCCATACCTGTCCCTGCTGCGATGAGAGCTCCTTCGTTTGTCTACACTGCTGCTCTTCATGTCACTGGTAGTCTCCTGCTTCCGACTTCCACAGGCCTGACTACTTGTGCGAAAACATATAAAGTTCATACTCTCTAAATACCCCCTCTCTGGCTGTTTTGCAGCTGTCTCAACAACCACGTAAATCTTCATTTTGTTATCATAGTTAGGGTTTCAATGGTACAAAAACCGCAATGGACATATAGTGCAAAGATTATGGAATGTTTGCTAAAAACAGACAGATGTTTAGTATGCACAACCTTACTATTTATATTCAATACATAGTAAGAGCCTCAAATATATCAAAATTCAAGTTTTTTTTCTTAATAGTATTTGCTTTTCAATTCCATTCGCACTGGAATTTTTACTATTCGACTTCCCAAAGACAAATAATGTCACCATCACATTGAAAATAATCTCTTCGATCTTTAATTGCTTACCTCATCACCTTCTCGGTATTGTGGCAAAGCTGCCTTTCAGTTCCGCTACTATTATAACTTTATGACTTGACAAAATGCTGGTCCTAACATGGAGATAATAGACGTGAGCAGTCGCGTGGACTTCATCATCTCCTGGTTAGTTTCGTGCTGCACGGCTCCTATGCTGCCCACACCGTCGCTGCCTTGCGGCTCGCTGTACTGTGCGCGCAGATTTGCCGTCTCGATTGCTTGTCCCCACTACGCTCCAGACTGAGCACAGATGAGCAGAGTAATGTGTTTAATTAAGTGGGGATAACAAACTGCAAGCACAGTGTACTGTGATTATAAAGTGGTCATGAAAACAAGAGATAGGGATTGCTTGTTTCTTGTTTTCTCTGAGTTCTCTGTCAGCTGTGATGTTTATGGTGGGAACTCACACCCACACTTGTGGGTGGTAAGTCTAGTATAGTAAGCACCCTAGTACTGAATGTTTAGGGAACAACTTTTTTTACCAAAAATAATTTTGACTGACGATGATGTTTGACCCTAGAAAGCTGCCCCAAAACTAACCGGCATTGTTCCAAAACACACCTTGTGGTGGTCCAAACCAGCTCCAAAACTCCCCTTTTACTGCGCCATAGCTGCTTCAAAATGGCATTATTTTTGCTCCCTGAGCTGCTCACAAACACTAAATTCACTTCCACCCCTGAATAATTCAAAGCAACATTCGGGGGGGGGGGGGGGGGGTTGGGGGGGGTTGGAGAGGATTCTGAAGCATTAGGCTTGCCCAAATAGTGCATTTTCAGAAAAAAAAAAAGGGTGATAAATTCATTTTAACATTTAAGTGGGCCTTCGAGACAGTGTGGCTTTGCAATAGAAATTTTTACGGCTTAGCAGCTCTTCTCTGCAGTGAAACCACCTTTACAGAAAGGTATATGTGAACCAATATAATTTAAATAAATGCTTTCATGGCTTAGCACCACTTTGCTGCAGTGAAACGACCTTTACGGGGGTTACACGCAGACTTGTATATATCTATTCGTTCATTTCGAATAGTCTGAAATTTTCAGTAATTTAAATTCGAATCAAAGCAAATTCAAATACTGTGATATTTGTTCGACTTTTCGAAGTATTCAAATATTTGCACAAGCCTACTAAGCATGTGCTTATGAAAAATAGCAACATGAAAGTGTTTCCTTTCGCTAGGTTGATGAAGGCTGGTGGGATTGTATTTCATAGTTGTCTTATCAAAAATGAGCCAATGCAGAGGTCGAATGGTATTAGTACGTAATTTGGTGCACCAAAGTGTTGCCGAAAACCCTTGCATATGAAAGGCAAAGATGCTATTTCCTCAGCCTCTCCTACTCTTTCAACTTTTGTGGAATCCCAATTGAAGTGGCAGACAAGGTTGTGCTCCCTTCGAGTTTGGAGTTACAAATCTGCCTCACAGACATCAAGCTAGAAAAAATTAGAATTTTGGATGCTCAAAATCTTCGCTGTTCGATTTTTAATATTTACTATCCAAATTTCAAGTCAGCAACAGCATTAATTGACCTCCCACCGCTACCTCTGCCACGTCTATTATCTCCATGTTAGGACCAGCATTTTGTCAAGTCATAACAGTTATAATAGTAGCGGAACCTGAAAGGCAGCTTTGCCACAATACGAGAATGTGATGAGGTGAAGCATATTAAAGATCTGAAGAGATTATTTTCAATGTGATGTTGACATTATTTGTCTTTGGGAAGTTCGAATAGTAAAAATTCCAGTGCGAATGGAATTGAAAAGCAAATACTATTAAGAAAAAAAACTTGAATTTTGATATATTTGCAGGCTCTTACTATGTATTGAATATAAATAGTAAGGGTGTGCATACTAAACATCTGTCTGTTTTTAGCAAACATTTCCATAATCTTTGCACTATATGTCCATTGCGGTTTTTGTACCATTGAACCCTAACTATGATAACAAAATGAAGATTTACGTGTTTGTTGAGACAGCTGCAAAACAGCCAGAGAGGGGGTATTTAGAGAGTATGAACTTTATATGTTTTCAGCACAAGTAGTCAGGCCTGTGGAAGTCGGAAGCAGGAGACTACCAGTGACATGAAGAGCAGCAGTGTAGACAAACGAAGGAGCTCTCATCGCAGCAGGGACAGGTATGGGTATGATTTGTTTAGACTTTTTACCACGTTAATGCTCCATAAATTTTACTCTTTCTTACATTTCACTTTTGTTTTCAAGTGCACTTCTGAGCAAAACTACCTATACTTTAGGCTTGGCAGAAAAAAAAAAAAAAACTTGATTCAGATACACAAACTGAAGTTGATGTGGTAATGCCAAGTTCATACTGTAGTTGTCGATCTCAAGATTTGTTCATGGGTAGAGAAGAAAAAATTGGCTATATCAATTAATTACTGTATTTACTGACATAATCCTCGGACTTGTATAATTCTCATACTCCCTCTCCCTCACATTGCCCAGCAAAAATATGATTGTTTTTTTTTTTCCGAGAGTCCCTAAAATTGCAAAAGAAATGTCCTCTGCTCCTTGGAACCATTGATAATAGTGCACAAAACCTAGCACCATCTCTTAAGCATGATGCATGCTATATACGCACAAGCATGACCTACGAGATAACGGCGCGCGCCACTGATGTCAGAGGTCATGGCACGAGCCTCAGTCTAATTTAAGCCAAGCCAAAGTGGCAAGTGCGCATTGCTGCGTGTATTGTATGTTGTGTTCATTCTGTAGTTACCAGGACCCCCTCTATAAAATTAGTGACCTGCTCACACTGGCTCTCTCTATGGCTGCGAGTGACCCCCAACTTTAGGGGTCACATGATTACTTAGTTACCAAAAGTGTCGAGAAAGGCCACCTCAACTTACCCCCATAGCAGCCGACGTGACAACTCAAGAAAGGCGTAGCTCTCTCGAAATGGCTACCACAGTACAAATGTGCAGCGGCAGGTATTTTGTTTCCTTTATTTAGGAACTTTCTTAAGGGCCTCAAACTGTTTTACTAGTGTGTAGAGACATGGCCGAGAACGTCTAGTTGGCTCATTTGTGACATGCATTGGCTCAGTTCAGTGGTCTCATCAGTTACTTAACTCGGCTGCTGTGCATGTGTGCTGTAAAGAACTTTCTTCTGCCGCTTTGTGGTGTACATTCACACGTACTTCATCATGACACCTTTGTTCATAAGTCGGCAATGTAACGGGAATGGCAGTGGGAGTCCAGTGGTGTGCGACAAGCGGTTCTCACAGGTTGTCACCCTTTAAATAAAAACATTCATGGCACTTGGTACTTGGTACTTGAGACCTGACATCATTTCAATGTCTCTATGATCGAAGTCTGTCATCCATCATCACGGAAGTAGACCTCTCTGATGACTATTCTAGCCATGTAGTTTATACTGCCCTTTAGCATGTAGAGGAGGGCCGAAACTGCAATGCTCGCATTTTTGTTTCTTGTAGCCCATTCAATCATCCGAGTCTCAGTTTCAGAGCTGAAGCGTTTTCGCACATGTATCAGTACGAGATCACGAATTACGTGAAATGCGACTAGCTACAGGCACATTCTTTTATAAAGTAGCGTAAGCTACGTTTAACCATGGCTGAAATGCTTAACTTACCATTATATGCATTATGCGGGCCCAGCTGCTCAATTTACCATACACTTATTTTGTTACAAGCACTGGCCTTTCATCATTTGTTTCAATGAAACCAGCGCACTTATGCTATTTACAAGAGCAAAATGCAAATGCATCTTATGGGGAGATGCTACTCGAAGACAATTTTTTTTAAATATTCACCCTAGAGCAATGAAACTTGAGCTGTTTATGGAACTTTTTATGCTGATTTCAAATATATAATTAGTTTTCTTGCAAGTTGCACACTTTTAGCTCTGCAACATGACAAAGTGAAAACCTTAACCCTTTTGCCGCCCCTCTTTTCATCTCTAAACTTCTGTAATTTTTTTCTATTCGTTCATAATGTTTCAAATAAAGTGTAGAATGTAAATAACTAATTAGGAAGATCATACAAAATATGTAATACGGATGAAAAATAATAAACATAAAGAAGTCCACATTGCACCTATCCTAGTAAAGGTTTACATACAATTTTTTTATTATACAATAAAATAATGGAATTTAAACTAAATAATTGCATTTCTCATACTTTGAAAAAAATTTGACTAAAATTTGATGCATATCCGAGCGCTAGAAGTGCCCGAAAAAAGGGTGGAACATCGGAAAAAATGGCAAAATTTGCTTTTTGAAAAAAAAGAGTTTTAAAGTTAAAATTGAGTTTTTATTTATGAAAGATATCATTAAATCTGATGAAATTTGCACACCAAAAAAATTCTTGTAGTGGCCACTGCGACTGAAATACGCCAGCACCATGAGTTTGTCCCTCTCGTCTTCTTCGAGCCGACTCCTCATAAGCATTTCCCTCACAGACAGGGCCATGAAACGCTTGCCAAACTTCCACTACATCTGGCAGAGCCTTGTGCCAACTGCAAGCTAGGAAGAAGTTCGACAGGGCTGCGAAATCCAAACTAAGTCCAGTGTCATGCCATTTTGTGGCCATGTTTGTGGCACATACTGTCGTACATAATGGCGATGTCGTCCCTGCTAAGATTGGCGCTGACCTCATCCATTGCCGCATCACGAACTTTCCGGCTGACGGGTGTGAATAACTTTTGACGCATTGGCTTTTGCAAGCTAACAAATTAACTGCCGCAAATCGGACCAGCTGCTCGTAGCCTATTCCTACAGAGCACGCCGCACAACGGCTTTCACTTGCGAGCAATTCCTTTTCTCATTCATAAAGGAGATAATTACACGAGGAAAGCATTGTTCAGCTATGCTGCTTGACAAGACATGGACCCCGCAAATAGGTTTCACAGCGCATACAGGCGCGCAGCAGCCAATGGCGGTCCCCGATCCGTACCACGTGAAAAGCCAGTCGCGGCGCTCGAAGAATTGGACCTTTTAACAGGCACCTTGTGCTCTTTAGGTGCAATTTTAAAGCATTTTGAATTAAGTCTCGATCTGTATTCTTTTTTTTTATAACAGTAGAGGTACTAATCTTATCAAAACAGGGGAAAATAAAAATCGGTAATTTTGAAAAAAACCTCACATTTTTCGACCCGCATCACCCCTTAAGTCACTGCAATTATTAAGTGACTGCAACTAACCTTGGTCTTGCTGCACATATATTTACTCTGCACTTCTCTTAGCCTCTGAACTGCTTTGCCCTTAATGAATCACTAATGAAATGCCAAAACACATTATTTGTGTAAATCATCCATGTTACACTAAGGGTAATGCTCATTCAGATGGAACACACTCATTGCATTGTGAAATGTCAGTACAGTTTTTTTATTTCTTTTGCATCAATAACCACGCTGTTATCTTGGTCCTGAAACCAGGGAAGAAATTGGCCTTGGGGAACCTTAGATCCATATATATTACATCATGTCTCAGGAAAGGTGTTGGAAAGATTAGTGAAGACTAGGCAACATCATCTCGAAGGAAACAACTTAATGTCTCACACCATGTTTTGCTTCAGGCCACATCTTTAACGAGAGGACATCCTCCTGCTTTTAATGCAAGTGGACTTTCATGTGCCTGTCATAATACTGCCACATGGGCAACTTGTGCTCTTGCACTTTGAGTGAGTGCACTTTGAGTGAGTGCACTTTGTCGTTAGTGTTATTTGCTCGCTGTCACACAGCAACACTTAGTGACACACTCAGCAAAGCACACTTTCCAGTGAGTGCATTTGCCAAACTCACTTCTACTGCAAAGGAATGTCTAGCCTTAGCAGCAGCGGCTTGGGAATAAGTAAAGTATAATCAGACTTCATGTTCATAGTATTCAATAAACTATCATTTTCGCTATTAGGAATATTCAGATACATTATAACATAATACAGTGCAGACCACTTATAACATAACCACTTTTTACTGCAGAACTGGTTACAATGCGGTCTTTTTCGACTCTCTTTTACCCTCCAATATAACCTCATGTATACACGTACCACTTATTGTGCAGTTTTCCAAGGTGAAGGGCCGGTTATAATGCAGTCGCTGGAAATTCTTGTGACCATCGTGGTAGCGAGTGCGCTTCTGAAAGGAGATGTGCTGGTTGCGGCATTGGGGAGCGAGGGACGAGGTCGTTACTGAGGAGGAGGAGACACGGAGTAAACGAACGAAGGGCAGAGGGAAGAAAAAGAACAGGAAAAATGAGCGCTACATGCTTGCCAGGCTCGCCGAGTGAGGGAAGCGGGCAGTTGTCTTGGCGTCGAAAAGGCTTTGCATCGGCGCGACGCGGCTGTACAGTGGATTAGCCTCACTAGCGTGGCTTCAGCCGCGCCTGGCTCAACTTGGCAGATGCAATCCCGTTCTTATCAGCTGCGCTTAACTGTTTCCTGTCAGTAAAGGTGTCGTCGTTACCGTGCTTGCTACAAATATCGCGTTTGTTACCTTGTCCGTAAATTTAATACTTCTAACGGCTTTATGAGGCGAGCTTTCGCCTTTGCTGCCAGTGCTCTGTCTTACGTAAGCGTGGTGGTTTCCATCATTCTTGATCTCCCAGCCAATAACGCAAACTTCGTATCATGGACGCTGTTCTTGGTTTAGATTTTGATTGTGGTCTTTTCGAACCTGGATCTACATTTCTTACACAAACTTGCCACGACAAGATACTGAATGGCAGGCTAGGTCTAATTGGCATTAATTGGGCTTCGGTAGCGATCGCAATCCTAAGTTGTGGTTTGGTACGGAAGAAACTTTTTGTGGTGGCTGGACTTGATAGTAATGGATACATATTGTTACGTGAAGGTACACGCGATAATAGGCGTTTCAAGATATATTTACACCACGCCAACGCGCAAGCCAAGATGGAGAACAAGAGCTGAAGATGATGATCCTTCTTACCCTGGTGCATACCCACCAAGGGGCCCTACACCAAAATTGTGTCGTCTTTCTCTGCGGCTATCTAACCGCTTTTGTGAGACATTGTCTCACAACAATATCATTAATGAAAACGAGGGTGCCTCGTTGAATGGTGGTTCGTGATTCAATTGGCGTCTTTCAAAGCATAAAGTTCTGGACGTGATTCGACATTCTGCGCAATGCGCATAATCGAGGCAGTCTGAGAAGCAATCAACGAATTTCTGCAATGGTACTTTCTTTTGTTAGACCCCCTCTCTCTCTTTCGTGTTCATTTTGTTGGCAAGGCATGTTTTTGGACGTTAAACTTTTTTAACATTTGGAATTGCAATAAAAGGTTGTAATCACCATGTATAGAATGCTTTAATTCTCTCTCGGACACGCGAGGCTGCTTGCTCAACACATTTTGCGTGATTGCAGCCCTTGAAAAAGGTTGTTTTGGTTATAGTGCAGATATTTGCTACTTACATTATAAGCAGTCTGTACTGTATACAATGAAAAAAAACAAACTACTTTTTTATTTTCATTCGCAGGCACCCTAGCATACCTGCCAAGTCTCCCGGATTGTCCGGGGGACTCCTGGATTTTGACCATTTTTTTCGTTTGTACGGTCGTCATGAAAATCTCCCGGAAATAGAAATTTCTGTGTGGGATCTGGCTGTATTGACTAAAATGCAGGCCAGTCCATTCCAGACTTTTTGCGAACCCACCGCATTTTACTATAAATGAATTTAGGAAGCATTTATCTGAACTTACAGTAGCCTCAGTGATGCGAAACCGTGGCAGATACGAATTCATAAAATTCCCCAGCCAAATTTCACTGTGTCATTGGGCAGAAATTCGAATTTTCCCAACACTTTTCCTAATCGCGGCGTGATAAGAACTTTAATACCGAAACCGTCGAACGAAGGCTAATCGAGGGCAGCATGCTCGAAGCTTGAGAAGTATGCGTGTGACCAGCGCATGCACTGTCTTCTACAGTGCATGTGGTTGTTGCCACAACCACTGTGGGCGAAACCGCGGTCGTTCTTGACACAATCATGTATGGCCACGACGTTACTGACAGCACTCTGAAAGTGTGTGTGCGTCCAACACTTGACTGGTCAAAGCAGTGCTGTTTCCCGCAAACTTGCAAACATTACCGTGGCAGATGCGATCATAGATGGCATAAAACGGCTTAGTTTTGAAGGCATGTGTGCAACCAATGCAAGTGCATTGAAAACAGAATAGTTTGCCGCCACTGCCGCGGACACAACTGTGGCGATGCGATAGCGATCTATGAGCTCCGAGGGCACGTGGCTAACACAGCGGTAGATTAAACGTAGTAAAGACCTAAAAAAGGTTAGAACCATTTCGGCGTTTCAGTCCAAAGAATCTAGCGGCGAGCAAAGCCAAAGCTTTGACTCACGCTTTCCCGGCAGCCAGCTGCGCTGGTCCCATCCGCTCATGTGTGTCCCAGGAAGACATACACGAGTCGTTTTGACAGAAATAGATTTCGCTAGTGGTTTTGATGACGTGAAATTTCGGGAATATTTACGCTCCCCTTTGAGAAACTCACCGTAGTGGGAAACCTACCTCGTCTGTTTCGCCAAGCCATCATAAGACCGCAACATACCAAGTAATCGCTTGCCCCCCCCCCCCCCCCCCCCCCCGTGTTGCAAAAATCTCCCGGATTCAGAATTGTTGAACTTGGTAGATATGTCGTACCCAGGACTGCCAGGAGCATGTCCAGAACACTCCCACTCCATGCAGTGGTCGCAACTGCTCCATTTGCACATGAAGGCTATTGTAATAAATTCAAACTTTGTTGAACATGGCAATATGTCTTTACAATCGTGAAGAATGTACACAAAATATATAGGCATGTGCATTTACTATGTATACAGATAAGCCTGAGAAAGATTAGAATTTCAAATTTTTTATTGCACAGCAGCTATATGGACCTCAATAGTATTTTAAGGGCTGCTTATAGCTGTAACACATTACTAGTTAGGAAAAATTGCTTTAAATAACAAATATCCACTGTACTACTTAGTTATTGATTGCCATTACCATAATTTCCAAAGTACGCGTCCCTTCTCATGTAGCAGCATTCTGGCTAAGAGAGATTCCTAATAACTTGTGATGTAAGGCAGTCAAGTGGATGTAGAGCCTAACAAGTATTATCTGCCTATTTTTATTCGTCATGCACTAAAACTGTTAGCACTCCACTAAGCGTCACCATTCTTGTGTCCTGTTCGCAGGTCAAGGGAAAGACGAAGAAGTCGTAGTGAAGAGAGACGCCGCCGGAGTTCACCTAGTAGCAGGCGAGATGTGCGACAGCACTTGCGAGATGAGCCAAGGCAGCGTAGTTCACACCGAAGCCGGTCACATCATTCAACATCTTCTAGAGATCGTCACCGTGACTCATCTCGCCCCAGGTCATCTAATCACAGAAGAGCTTCACCACGTTCTCATTGTTCTCCAAGACTCGTCCAACATACAGACAGGAGACATGATTACCATGATGAGAGACGGAAGAGAAGTGAAATGGAAGAGAAAGAGAGGAGGCTAAGCACAAGTAGGAGCTTCTCAACCAGAACAGGCAGGCAATCTCCAGAGGATGGGTAAGAAAAAGGACACAATGGTGTCAGCTTTTCATTGCCAAAGTGCCTGCTGTTGCTTGTATGAAAAGAATAGGAGGAACTGAGCACCTCGACATTGAGCAAAGTCTATACGAAGCTACGAATGATATTGAAAAAAGCATATGTACGATTTATGCTTTCCCGTTGTCATGTTTTTATTATCTATTTATTGTGATGTGAACTTTTTTGCAAGCTTAACCTTTTTATTATTTTTGCATCTGTAAAAAGGCAATTGATGTGCCTAAATTTGCACATGCAAACTGTGCATTTTATTTATTATGCGACCACCGACAACCACACCGCTATCAGTTATCGCCTCAAAAAGCCTTATGGCAATAAGCATCCCTGGCTATCTGCCCGGGCACGCGTGTGGCGTAGCTGCACTTTAAGCCTACTGCACGCTTTTAGTAGGCGACTACCTAAACGCGCTGGGCCGCCGATTGCTGCCGCTTGGTTGTGCGGGACCGTGCTCAGGCTTGTACTGATTTATAGGAAAGCAAACAGCTTGCTGTCCCGAAGTTTAGCGTTGCTGGTTGCAGACACCGAAAAATGTTGCTGTATTATGCTAAAACGTGCACTGTACAGCAAGCGTAGCACTGTTGTAAGTTGCGCGCTTTTATTCAACGACAGTTCAAACGGGCCTCCGTCCGCTACCAGGACTGCTGGAGCATCGCGGAGAGCACACTGCTTGCGGAAATCCAGCAGGGTTCATTCAGCAGGTTACTGTGTAGCAAGCATATTGGCAGTCACAGTGTGTGCCGAGTAGGCGAAGTGCTGCACGCAATTAGCCATGCAGTAAACGATTCGGCTCTGCGACCTTACCACGTAAAAAAAAAAGCATCAGTTTTTGCATAAGCAGACCACGAAACAAGGGTATCATGAACAGCCTATTGTGTCCGCTCTGTCACTGGCTGCTGCAGCCTGCCTGATGTGACGCAGAAGTGCAAGCTGCACCTCTGGGTCAGAGCTGGCGAGCTGTGCCTCCCATTGCTCAAAAGTATTAGAAAGCTCGAACTGACCTAAAAAGGTATCTAAATTTGATGGTTGGTTTAGGCATCCCCACGAAATGTGGTAGAGCGATGGCGAGCCACCACACCATGGAGACGCATGCCCATACAGGATTGAAAAAATTTTGTGCAATCTTTCAAGATTGGGAAAGACTCCCGTTTGAATTCTGCGGAGGTCAATCGCATCCTCTCTTTCTAATGATTTGTGGGGGGCGTTGTATTTTTGTCGCATGCTTCACTGGTTAGCAAGAATTTCGCAGGGGCAATTCTGGATGGGTCATTTTCCTCCTCGATAGCTTCCTCCTGGAGTGTTTCAAAGGATCGAATGTGCTGTCGAAGCTCTGCTCAGTTCGTGAGCCCTTGAGCAAAAGCGTCGGCACTTTCGTTTCCCTCCAGGCCTGCGTGTCCTGAACACCAGATCAGCCTGTATTTGTTCGTCCATCTTCTGCCTAAGAATTTGTTTACTTTTATCGGAAGGCGGCTGTAAGGTCTGGCGTCGCAGGCCAGGGGAGCGAGTCTTCTCGGTCGCAAAAGGGCGCGCTTCCCAAAGAGCCGATTCTTGGGAAACGATAATCTCGGCGTAAGGGCGCCCGTTCTGGCAAGAATACCGCGGTCAGTCGCCACTTCTAACAACCAGCTAAATGGTCCCCGGCCAGCGGATTGTCGGCGGGTGACGTGAGGACAGTGTAAAGCCACCCATCCGTCAGGATTAGAGTCCGCGGGACGGCTGACATGCTGGACAGCGTAGCCATCTCGCGGTCATGCAGGAGGCCCGCAGCCGAACGGCGCCACCATTGTGTGCGTTCGTACAGTTCGCGGAACGTGTGCAGGCCGGTCCTTTCGTCTCTCTCCCTACGACCGAGCGGTCGAGTGCTTGAATAGGAGAGCGAGAGGAGAGGACGGCAACAAATGTCTAGTCAGTCCAATAAACGGACTGGATTGCTTTGGTTGGGCGTGAGGAGAATCGGGAGGCGCAACCGAGGGATTAAAACCTGGCTTCCGAGTTCTCGCGGTAGTTCTGGTCGCAGCAAAGAGTGCTCTGCACTATCGGCCCTGCCGAGGCAACATGCGACGGTTCCAAAGGTGAAGTCTTGTAAATATTTACATAAGTTTCTGTATATAAAGTCGAGTTGTAACATTCGAAATGTGCTGGCCTCCATTCCCGAACAAGCAGCAGCAGCCACGACAAGACAAGACGGACACCGAGAAGCAACCAACCTTCTACTCCCTTCTGTAGCAACAGCCGCTACGCAGCTGGGAGAGCTCTGCTCAAGGGAACAGAGGGAGTGGGTAGAAAGTTGAGTTTTACTGCGGCCTATTGAAAAGAAACGGCACGCTTCCTGCGAGTCAGAAATGATAATTGTCTGCGGTTCATCTCTCTGTTCCTGTGCTTTAACTGCAAGGACAATGGCAAAGTATTCCGCCTTGGCGACCGAGGACGTGTACAGCGATGCACATGTCACCATCCAGTTGTCGTTGCTAAGTGCTGATGCAACTGACCGTTTAAAATTGTACCTCGAAGCATTCACATGCAAAACATTTGATTTGTTTTTTAATGTTTTTTGGAGCCTTCGCACTCCTCTCTGCTCTTTCTGTTTGATTTTACGTCCATGTTCTTGGGCGGCGGTGAGATCGAGATCTTGCTGCGGACTGGATCCGGCATTTCTACATGAACCTTGTCCAGAATCTGGGGGTATGGTGGGAAACCCACTCTAGCAAGTATCTCTCTCACTGCTTTTGTTTGACTTAGACCATTTATCTGCGCAGTCAGTACCGCTGTCTTTAGCTCAGAGTATGTATTATTGTCATGGCTAAAGGCCGGGCAAGAAGACAGAGGACGACAAGGTGATGAGCGTGGACAGCACCCACGGTTCCTCCGAGGAAGAAGAAGTCGAAACGGCTGCTCTTTTGTTCTGTTAATACAGACCTCGTTTTTTCTGGTCGCACCGTTGTCCTGTATTCTGTTATTTTCACCTAGCGACATTGGTGGAGGTGCTGGACTTCTCCAGCTGATGCTTGGGGCACCTCCGGGCCCTAGCACATCGAGTCCGCCACCGCAATCTGTTCCTGCAGTAGATACTCCTGTCCACCGCTACAGTCGCCGACAGCGCGGCCTTAGTCCCGAGGCGATCTCGCTCGAACTTCTCCAGCAACACACTGTTCCGGGAGAAATGGCTACCGGAGGGCCTTCACAGCTTACTGTTGATCAGCCCCTAATTCCTGAGACCTTCCATGGTGAGGTTTATGAAGACGTCGAGGACTGGTTAGCCCAGTATGAGCAAGTCGCCAAAGCCAACCGCTGGTCCACTGAACAAAAGCTATCGCGCGTCTACTTTGCTTTGGCAGACAGCGCTCGTACGTGGTGCGAGAACCACGAGTCAACGCTATCTTCGTGGGAGGAATTTCGGCAGCAAATTCTCGGGGCATTCGCAAACACCGACCGGCGTGATTCTGCTCTGCAGCTCATCGAGGCACGCATACAGAAACGAAACGAGAGCGTCGCCATGTTTGTGGAAGACATGGCCCGCCTATTTCAGCGAGCTGACCCCGAGATGCCTGAAGGTAAAAAACTTCGACATTTCATGAGGGGCGTCAAGGAAGAGCTGTTTGCCAGTCTCCTACACAACCCGCCAACAAGCTTACCGGAATTCGTCAAAGAGGCTACAACAATCGAGCGAGCACCGCAGCAACGGTGCCGATACCATGACCAACCAAACAAGACATCTCCCAGCCTCTCTGCTTTGAGTGCCGGTAGTGAGTGTTCTCTGCGCGAGCTCATTCGTGAGGTCGTTCGAAACGAGATCCGAAACCTCTTTGTGACTCCACAAGAAAATACCATGGCTTGCGTTGCAGAAGTTGTGCGGCTAGAACTCCGCCAAGCATTTTCGTTGCCCGAATCGCTCTCAGACCAGCGGTATGTAAGCTACGCATCAGCTGTCCGTCGACCCACTCCAGTGTCGTACAACTCGTCGCCACTGGCTTATCGTGACGTCAGCCAAGGGCCTTACAACGAGCCGTGGGCCCCGGCTCCCAATGCGCCGCAGCCGTATCCACAGTCTAACGTGCCTATGCAAACGGCGCCGATGTACACTCCGCCGACATCTGCATCTTGGTCGCAAGGTATGCCCACAAGTCGACCATTCATTCGTAAGACGGACTTGTGGCGCCCCGTCGACTGTCGACCACTTTGCTTTCATTGCGGAGAAGCCGGCCATATTTTTCGCTATTGCCCGTACCGTGACCGTAAATATCATAACTTTCTTCAATCCTCCCCTCGTGCTTATTTCGATAACCGTTGTGACAGCAGTGCAGGCCCGCAAGCACAGCAACCCGAAGTGCCGTATCGTCGACCCCGCTCTCCTTCACCTGCGCCGAACTCGCCGCCGCAGCGCAGTTACTCCGAGGTGGTCCGGGGCAGATCTCTTAGCCCTCGTCGGAGAAACTAACAGCTGCGACCTTTGGGGGGAAGGTTGCCGCCCGTCGAGATGCTATCACACCCCCAACATCTTCTCTATGACGCGATACGACGAATGATACCACGGATCGTACGACGCACGATACCAAGGACAATACGACGTCACCGACATCAACGGAAATCGTAAGCACCAATCTAGACATTTGTATAGACGGACACCCAGTAACAGCACTGGTAGATACTGGTGCGGACTTTTCTATTATCAGCCGTAAACTCGCCAAGTGCCTAAAAAAATTAAGAACAATATGGACGGGTCCAAACATAAAAACCGCAGGGGGTCAATTGGTGACGCCGACGGGCAAATGTACAGCTCAAATTAATATCGGCAGTTCAGATTTCGTCGCTACTTTCGTAATTTTACCGGAGTGCTGCAAAGACCTGATCTTGGGCATGGACTCCTCGCGTGAATACGGTGCCATTATCAACATTCCTGAGAGATCGGTTACGTTTTGGACGGCCCCAGATCAAGTTTCGGATGTGCCCTGTACAGAGCACCGACG